TCACTCTGACAGTCAGAAATTTGGCAAACTGGGAATACATTTCTATTATTGAGATGCAAATACTGCCAATTTATTTTGTTTTAAACAAGATAAAATCTGATGACCTGAATCTTACTGCACATAAAACTGCCACTAGTGGGATACTTTATTGTCCTCCAATCACACGCATGTGTGCAATATAACTGTTTTAGCACTCGGAAACACTGTGAACCAGCCTAAACAATTCTGTATTCAGTCACAGACTGTGTAACCTATTGAGTTTTAGTATTTGAATGTATTGTGCAAAACTTTTGTACCCTCTAGAACAGCCTAAATTAGTCAATACATCTTGTGCAGATTCTGAGATACTTATGTGCTTCTTCAATATTCTGAATGATCTATTATTGTTTTCTCTTTTTTTCTGAGTAATAGTGGTTGGCAGGCTTACAGGCTGTTTTGTCCTAGCCCACAGCATCATCAAACTTTCACAGAATGATTGTCAATAAGTACCTAGGTGCTTACTGTCAGGATTTTTTGATATAAGTATTTTTGTAAGAGTTATGGCCCTTTGTTTGGGATTTTTTTCACATTTTATAATATATGCAGAAAACTTGTCTTTGTGACAATTTCCTGTCACTTGTATTGCCATGTCATTTCAATAGCAGCATACTGGTAGGTTTACACATTCCAGTCTAATTAGGAAATGTTAATTTGATATATTAAGTGGTAATTCCTCTCACTTAACAGAGGTAATTACATTACATGTTGTAAAAGTAACCTTCATGTGCAGGCAGAAGGAAGTCTTTGATCATTGAAAATGTACTTGTTTTAAGACAAGGTTTAATTTTCAATTTCATTGCATACTGTCAGAATACCTTTAGTTTTACAAGCTCTAGATTTATGATATTCTAATTGCACCATATAATATATCTGCAATTTAAAGTGCAATAAATGTTCTGTTGTTTTTGGGTGTTTTTTTTTTTTCAAACAGAAAAGGCCGTATTTCAGAGAAGAGTTATTGCCCTTCGTTTTGTTACCAACATATGGATAATGGGGATCCACTCATGTTAGGGCATTAAAACGTTTCCATTATTTAGTTGGTGTTGTAAATTCACCTTGATACATTTGCATATAAATAGGAAATGTTTTTCGGGGTGGGGGTTGTTGTTGTTTGTTGTTTTTTCTTAAATGTGAAGTTTACCTCTGTGAGTTATTAAGTATTTTGATATAATGGAGAGTGAGATATGAAAAATATTTTCACTTCAAAGGAAAGTGAATTCAGCATTCTATAGTTATGACAGTGAAAAACATTTTTTATTTTCTTATACATTATTGATAAAAACATAACATTTAGGGAATATGATAAAATATGATATGATAATTAGAGTATAATTATCTCATTAAAACAATCCTTTATATGAATAATTGATGTATATTGGATTTTTATATGTATAACATTTTTGAGACCTTTAAAAGTTTGTTGAGTGCCAACAGTTAAATGTATAAGTTGTCTATGCCCAGTAATGCCTTCAGTATAGAGGGCCTGGTCAGTCTTCAATTTGCAGGCTAAATTCCACTGTTGGGTGCATATTTTTTTTCTTTTTTTTGTTGAAGAAATCTCTTTAACACTTCAAAATCTTATAGGCACTTTAGTCCTCAAAAAGAAGTATGTTAGAAATATGTAATAGTTTTCTCTTTATGTAGATAATAGGACAAACATGTGTTTTATATTAGAATGTCACTATAAATGATATGGATCTTTTTAGATGCTTATCACCTGAAGTGTGAATGTGAAATACTTTGTGATAAAGATAGCCAAAATGAATACAAAGTGGTATTTTGACTTCCATACAAAACACCAAATCATTTTAACTGTAGGTTATTGCCAAAACACAAAGGAAACAAAAGATGGTTCAGCTATTTGGCCATCAAGTAACATTTTGGTAACAGTACATCAAAACTATAAAGCCTTTAAAAATGAAAATAGATCTATTTCCATTTTTTTAGGCTTAACTGGCCTTTAACAAGTACAATAAAGATAAATTGTTACAAAAACAATACCGGCAACAATTTGGCTCGGGTTCATATTGTAGTATACTAGGATGTTTTTTCTTGTAAGTTTATTCCTTGTACTTTTGTATCTTCATAATGGGGGTTACTGCAGACATTTTAAGGTAGCAATTTCCAGACTAAATGAGCCATGTCATGATAAATGGGTCCTGTAGACAATCAGGTGTACCTGATTACCTCATGAAATAGGCAACATTAATCATTGGTTATCAGCAGCAGACATACTATACCTAACATACACCTTTGTTTTCTTTAACCATCATGAATAACATGCTGTTACAATCTTTGTTTATAGTTCTTTAGGTTCATTTAATAAGCATTTTTTTCTATAACATTTCATTAGATTCATTAATTTGTTTAGTGTTGTTATTTATGTTTTTTACATTGTATATATTGATATTTCAGAATGTTGATTTGATAGGGGGTAATTATTAACATAGATTTTATTAGGGCCATCTTTGAATGTACATTGTTATTAACTGGAAGTCTGCAATCTACTGAATATACCCTGTGAGTCTGATCTTGGTCTGCACTGGTCACTGGTGATTTGTGCAGACCAAGATCAGCTACCATATCCTTGCTGTCTGATTATGGTCTGCACTGTTTATTGTCCAGTCTGACAGTACTTATTTGGCATACATGTAACCTTTTTTGATGATCAAGTGGGAGATTTTTCTTTAAAAAGAGGGAGATTTTAGAATTTGCAATAAACAAAGAAGGGAGTTCTGACATCAAAAATAAGGAGATTTCTTTAATTTGTGAAAATATCCATTATTTTCAGAAAAATCTTTGAAAATATGGCTGCAAAGTGTGAAAGTTCACATGTATGATTTTGAAATTTTTCCTAAAGACACTAAATGGTTTCTATACAGTACAGATTGAAAAATTAACATATTAATCTTGGTAATGGTAAATTAGAAATTGACAAGTCTATTTTAGATATTTAGCTTGGTAATGGTAAATTGGATCCTCTTGAATTGATTAAAAAACTAGTTTCTTATCAGTTTGTTCCTAGCTATAATGGCTTAAGTTTATCCGCACTGATGTGGATTGCTTTACTATAAAAACTTGAATGTGACTTTGCTCAAGAAATTGTGTTTTAAAGTCCCCATTAAGGAATTGATTGTATAAGGCTAGAACTGGTAAAGGACAGACTCTCAGAAAGAAATTCAAATAATGCACTTGCTTTGAAATATATAATAAATATAAGGTAAATCAGTACTTCTGTAGTTTATTGACCACATGTTCCAAAATGTTTAGCTGTTCTTGTTTAATATGAACACTAAGAAACTGGTTCAATAAGTTCACTGTATACCAGACCAGAAAATTACATCAAACTACCAATATCTATCAGTAGAAATATTTCTAAATCTCACTGAAGGAAATGATGTATTTACATTGAAAGAATGCCAATAATATTGTATCCCAACTTGAAAAATGCTCTCATATTTTGGATGGTTTATTGCTAGAATTTAGACATTTTATTTGGGAAATTAGATAGTATTAATCAGATAGTATGGTGGGGTGTTTGGGAGATGCATCAGTACATCAGAGGGATTTGTGGCTTGATTAAATTAAAGGTGATGATTGTAAAACAAATAAAGTTCAGCCAAAAATGTTGGCTTTATTGCAGAAAATTAGAGCTCACTTCTAAACTGCAGCTGTTGAATTTGTACAAAGCGAAGGTGTGTAGTATTTCAGTATTCCTACCTCCCCCACCTCCACCACCCCCCTCTGACTCTCCATCTGCTCATAACTAAAGAATGCCATAATGTTTGATTTAATTGTTTGCTATAAGAAGAGGGCAATCTGTTATTGAAACACTACATGATAGGAAAAAAAAGATTATCAGGAATTGTGCCAGGATGAGTTTTAAAAAAAAATCAAAAAAAAATCTTGTATATTTATGCTTCATATACAAGTATATTGCTTTATATAATGTCTTTTTTTAACCAGAAGAATTGGGTTAGATATTATATTTGAGATAAGATAATTAGTCTGAATCTTCCTAACTCTGATTGGTGCATTTTAATGAAATATTTTAACTTGGCAAATGACAATATTCAAAATGAGATTGCAGTGTATACTATGTTTTATTTATTGAACAAAAAAACAACAACAAAAAACAAGCATTAAAATCCCCAAAATACTCATCTTATCAACAAATACAGTAGGCATTTTCGAGGCATTAAAATTGTACAATTTTGATCAAAGGTAAACTGCAATAACCTCATTCCAAAGTACTTGAATAAGATAAAAGTCTGGTTGGTTTATGTTTTTATATCTTAATAGAATTGCACCAAAATTACATATAATTTCATTAGTCCTTTGCAAAAATAGTGACTTTTTACATTGTTATTAAATCAAATAAAATTGAGTTTCTTTTTCTTTTTTTATAATAAATGTAATTACTTATTTTACCCACTTTGAGTTCCTTTAAAACATAAACATACAAGTCACAAATCAATCCAAGTTTAACATTGATTTGAACACATGATTATATTGTACACAATTAAGGTTATATTGTACACAATTAGGGTTATATTGTACACAGAGTTATATTGTACACAGTTAAGGTTATATTGTACACAGTTAGGGTTATATTGTACACAATTAAGGTTATATTGTATACAGTTAGGGTTATGTTGTACTCAATAAGGGTTATATTGTACACAATTAGTGTTATATTATACACAATTAGGGTTATCTTGTACACAATTAGGGCTATCTTGTACACAATTAAGGTTATACTGTATACAATTAGGGTTATATTATACACAATAGGGTTTTCTTGTACACAATTAGGGTTATATTATATATAATTAGGGTTATATTGTACACAGTTAGGGTTATATTATACACAATTAAGGTTATATTTTACACAGTTAGGGTTATATTGAACACATGTTGATCTACTCATATCAATGTTTTGTTTTCTTGTATAATTTCAGATTTGTTAATCATACTGGAGAAACCACATTCACATGTCGTGTAATTCACAGTTTACCGTTGCTGATGTCAGCCATTCAGGTGTTCTATCACAGTCGAATGGCAGCAGTGGCACATCTTGTTGGCTCAGATCAGATTCCACAACCATCACAGGTAAGTGCTTCTTGATGGCATCTCCAGTGAGATGATATTAGATTCCTGGTCATTATTAAAGGTCTCATTTTCCTGGCTTGTATTACATGTTCTTCCCAAACCAACAACCAATTTGGCTGTATTGGCAGCTCAAATAAGATCCCCAATCTGATCACCTTACCCCAATAGTCTTAAGAAATCTAGTTCTGCATAATCATCATTAGTTGTGTATTAGTTCAATATATTTGTAAAGTGGTTTACATTATACATGTATGTTTTTATGATGTTTGTGGCATCGTAAATTTCAATGGGGAGGACAGTTATGCAGATTTTCATTGTTTGAAGCACTCCTTACATGTATATACATGTAGTTTGGGGGATTGTCCTCATTAATGTTTGTAACAGAGCATGCTAGCATGGTCATAATAATTCTGCTTCAATGGTTTTAATTATCAAATGGCAATGTACAAGTGTTACTTGAACTTGATGCTTTTACACTAATATACATATATTTGTAACTCTTTTGGGAATATTGAACATTCTCATATTTCAACGTTGACATTTATATGCACTGAAGTTCTGTGTCAAATTGGAGAGAGAATGAATAAAATGCTGCCCCCCCCCCCCCCCCTTGACTTTATACCGATTGCCGTTAGTAAATATAGATATACAATACATATAAGTTGTAAAGAAGCACATTTTAAATGTCAGTGCCGGAAATCAGTCATGCTTGTTTTGCATGCTTGTTTAGCCTGGTACTTGACAATTATATGGCATTATTTGTAATTTGCTGTCATATGTTACTACAAACATTGTCAAAATGTGACAGCAGAACATTTATGAATTAAAATCTACAAAAATACTGTGCCATACATGCAAGCAAAAGGGAAAGTAGGGCTATGTATATTAACAACTGTTGTAATGATGTCTGCTTTTCAACCAAGACATCATGGTTTTGAGGCGTATCTTGGTCATGGCAAGGCTTCTTTAAAAGACACACGTTTTGGTTTGTCCCATAAAGTGGAATTGAGAGTGGTTCAATACTTTCTTCATATTCAAGCAAGTAGATCATTAAAAAACTAAAACATATGCATGTTAATTGACAAAGTTTCCTCTTCATGTCCTATTATATACAATGATAAGGTTTCCATTATTTTGATCTTATATACATGTACATGTATGAATTTCAGTTGTCAGATTCCAAGAAGATATTTTCGTTGAACCCGGCTGATGGACAGAGGGCTGTGGTCATAAAGAACCAGCAAGGTGACTGGGGACTATTACGAGGTCAGTGGACAGGCTTCAGGAAACACCAGCCAGCTGTAGCAGGTAATAAGTTCCTCTGTATTAGAACAATTTAGGCCGTGATGCCAGTAATACAAGTATTTCAGCAGACATAAGGCTTTCAGTCTAGTCAGTTTGGCCAGTCTGTACATGTATTTCCTGTTGAGTTGAACATAGTCCACTCAGATCCAGTACTGGAAGTAGCTTAGTTCTTCAGTTATCTGAAACTACCATCGTTCTAAATTTTAGAGTAAGAGAAATCTATGTGTTGCAAAGTCTATAGGGAAAGGAACAGTGTTTTTCATCAAAATTCTTGGAATAAGCATAGGTCTATAAGGAAAATATCGAATACAATAGGTCAACATTTTTGTGGTCAATGGATACTTACTCAGTCAAGGAAATCCAATATTTCCCCTATATAAGGAACAATAATATAGACATGAATGAAGTATAGGTTAATTGTTTACTGATTCGGGTCAACAGTATTTTCTTGGACTGAAAAATTGTATTCACAACAGATAAGTGAATGATTACCCATCTGAATATCAATCTTACTGTAAATGTTGGTAGAATTATTCCAGTGGTATAGAATCAGGCTAAAAGCTGCTCCACTTTATAGTCCTACCATAGATGGACCATTATAACATTGCATGTTTGTAACAACACTTTTCATTGGGTAATCTTGATGTTATATAGTTTTATATACATGGCTCCAGTCAGTTTATAAAGAAATCTCACTTTTTGTGCCCCGACTTTAAGGTGGGGGGGGGCGCAGTTAGATTTACCCTTGTTTTTCTCTAAAATAAGATGCTTGCTGTATTATAAATTCGTTAAAAATATTTATGACAGGTTATATGGCTATATATAAACAGTTGCTTGCAATATAACCCTTGCCAAGAGGCTCTGGTTATGGGCCATATAACCTGTCAAAAATTTTTATAACTAATATGATATACCTGTCTTGATAAACCTGCTCCACCTAATTACTTTACAGTAACATTAATTATATACTGGTACTCATTATCACCGGCAGCATAATTTTTGCATTTTGATATTGAAAGCCCTTATATTTACAATGCTCATTTCCAAATTCAAAGCAGAGTAATTACATAAAATAGGCAGGGCACCATTTAAAAGCAACTTCCTTGAATTCATGTTTTCAAAGGCTTAGCATTGTGTGTTCACTAAAAACATATAAATTGATGTTATGAACTTCATTATCATATTTCTAGAGGCTGAAATTTCAAATTAATACATGTTATGATATTTTGCAATATGATGGCTTGAATTCCCGTGACAATGTCCTTATGTGGTTTTGGGTAGGCTTAATTTCGAAAATCAGACAAAAAAGGAAAGGCAAAGCTTTATGAAAATGCTGTTTGTTAGCGCAGGAAGCATGCAATTTACGGGAGCTTCACCAGGATCCCGTGGGAAATGTTGCTTGAGCATCGGAATTTCCGATGATGTTTGCCGTTCAATATTGTACGCTGTACGAGTATTGAATATTTTGTCTATCTTTCACAATGAAAAATATCTGTTCCCTGACTATTGAATTAATCTGAATAAAGTTATGGATAATTTGACAATATTTTCCTTCAAGCATATTGTGATAAATGAGCCTGGTTGCTCAGTTTACAGGAAGTTTAACAAGGGAACATGTCTAGTTTACTTTTGGCCATCTATCAATGGTAGAATACAGTCAAACTTGTCTGTAAAGTCAAGTGTAGGGAATGGAAAAGTATTTGTGATCAGGAGGCCTCTCAAATGATGTTCATGTAATGTAATAAATCATTGTATTAAAAAAAAAAAGGACAGGTTTTTCTGCATATAACCTTTATCAGAGGTGTATTCCTTGCAGGTTTAACTGTACTTGACTTTTAATTTTTGCAGATGCTTTGACTGTCTTGATGATAATATTACATTCTTTGTGTTTCTTTTATTTTCTTATTATTGTATAAGATAAGATTCTTGTAGTGAAGTAAACATCCCCAAAGGTATAAAACTGTACTTACAGATGTGTTAATATAAATGTAAATTATGCGATGAAAGCAGAAGACAGTTATCTACCTCTATAGTGATATATTCACTTACAACATTTCTCTGTTCATTCCACATGATGCTTATGTGGAAGTGTGCTTGATTTTAGTTTTGTAATAAACACAAATTCTGGTTTTGAGTATAGGGTGCAAAAGTATTGTAACTGCATTAAGATTAAAGAAGAAGATACATTAGTTTTAAACTAAACTTTTGGTTTACGCTGCACTTCTGATGTTTAATGTATTTTGATTTTATTCTCAGATACACTGTGGAATTTATAACTTATTTAGAACAAATTTTATGGTGCATTTTCTGTGAGGTAAATTACATTATCCTGCAAGAACTATGACTCCATCTTTCTGGGGTTTTTGTAGCAATTGTTTATTTATATAATAACTTTGCTCAGGAAATGTTTGGTATCAACAAAAACATTCTCTATCTCTTTACAAAGGTGTTTCTTCAGCTTGTTTTTTTTTTCCATTGACACTTTGTAATATAACATTGGTAACCTCAGGTCATAGCATTGCTTTTAACCATCTGAATAATGTATTTGCCCTGCTTTGAATTTGGAACAGTCCAATTGGAAGTTTGTCAAGTAACGGTCGATATAAACGTTGTCAAGCAACTTCCAATATAATCCTTGTCAAGCATTTTCCAATATAAACCTTATCAAGCAACAGCTAATGTAAACCATTTCAAGCAACAGCCAATGTAAACATTGCTAAGCAACTTCCAATATAAACACCTTGTCAAGCAACTTCCAATATAAACAGTTATTGAATTACATCCCTTGTCAAGCAACTGTATAAATAATGATAGGTCAGTTGTTCTTCTGTATAAGATGACCTGTATTTATCAATATTCTAAGAGAGTGAGCAATGAGTAAGAAAATGATGTCTGGACAATCATGTTACTCATATGGAAATATCTGTCTGGGAGACTTGTTATTTCTGGAAGATTTTATTCTATCATGTTTTTTCCTGGTGCCAAGATGTCTTGTATTGATGTTCAATTGTATGAAGTCAATTTGTTCATCATTCATGAATTTATAAGACTGAAATTGTAAGGCCAGCCACTGATGTTACTGTTTTATTTCTATAATTGTTATCATTGTTAAATGATTCACATTTTCTACATATTTATATTGTAAAAATGTTTAATTTCATGGAAATAACATTCATAAGACTTGGCCAAATTTACAATCAATAGAAATTAAAATAATGATGAATTACGATTTAAATAAAATGATGAACTCAAAGTAAATTGATGTGATATAGCATAAAACATTGATGGTCTGTGTAGTTGAGTAATTTAGATTGTTGACTTAGCTTCTTACCACTTGTCAGTCTTTGCACAGTATGTAACGAAGCAGGCAAACTGTGTTAGTGATACAGATGGGCTGTTAGGAACTTCCTGCCCTGTTCAGTTTCCATTACTAAGATATTCTGAAACAAAAAATCACTCTTTGCGATTGACTTAAGTTTTATTTGATTCTATAAATTTTGAATCTTTATTTTTCAGCTACAAAAGGGAAAAAAGCAAAGAAGGAAGTACCATGGAACCCTGGTACCCTATCTGTATCATTCTACAAGTGTGCGACTGGTGCCTGGCAGCATATTACACTACCCTACCTCCAGGAAAACTTCAAATTCACCATACAGGATGCCAATATTGACCTGAGATCGGGAACCATTGAGATTAACAGTGAGGCTAACGAGGTAGCTGAGAATCTCGCCCTGGGTTTCTCAGTAGCCCTGCTGCATGTGATGTGCCAGCCGAGGTATAAACCCCCGCCGCCACCAGAACCTATACCTGTTACAGCTGAGCCCCCACCACCTTCTCCTGAAGCAAAGGAGGCTCCAAAGGAAGAGGAAGAAAAACCAAAGGAAGAACAACCAGCTGCCCCACAGGAAGGAGCTGAAGGTGAGAATCTTCTCATTCTTTCATAGTTGTGAATTTAAGTATATTTCATTATAGTCATGCTTTAATAGTTTTATCAGTTTGCCTCTGTTAATCAACTAATATAAGACACAATTACAGCCTAACTTGCCCATGCTATCTCATGTATTAAACAACTGTAGCGACCACTTTCAATCACTTGGTTACCTATATTTTATGTTAGTACTGATTTTGGTATTCAAAATAACCTTCATCAGGCTTCATGTGTACCATTTGTTATTTAGATGCTTGATATAAATAAAGCAAAAACTTAGTTATAAATAAACATTATTATCAATATTATTTATTAAGTGATAAAATTCATGCATGTAACATACATGTATAAGTTTTCTGTCATTTGCGCATGAAAAAAGCATTTGTTTCCTTGTAACAAAGACAGTTATATTAATATATCTGTGTTTTTGGTAGACAGATGTTGCTCAGCTTGGGATAATTATACAGTTACATTTATACAAAAAACAATCCTTGTATTTCAATATAATAACCAGTATGTCTTTTAATGTTTTCCTTGCATGTAGGTAATTTAATTTTCTACTGTGAAATGCTCTTTGTTCCTAATAAATGATTTCCTCGTCGCTTGTGAGATCATGCACGTACATACTGGTATTTGTAAGTTTTCATGTAATTCAAGGGAAAGCTTGCTTTATAGAATACCTCAATTTTGTAATTCATAATTGGTTGAAGAATGCTCTTCCTGTAATGATAAATAATAGCAGTTTTGAATAAGCATTTTAGAGGGTTGTTCTTAATTCTTTATACATATTAACTAATTAAAAATAAATAAAAAGTGCACCACACTAAATACCATATTCTGGTATATACCGGATAAGGCGCTTGAATGATAAAATGCTAAAATCTTGCCTTTTCACCTGCTGAAATGCACTCTTAGACATCGAATTCATCTGTTCACACTGATTTATACACTATAATGAATGAAAAATGTAAGAATCTGGGAAAAAAGAGATAGTTTCCTACTTTGTGATCATGATTTCTGCAAGCATCTAGAGATACTGCTCCAATACTCATAGTGAATTAAAAGGATTGATTTATTTCTTCAGATAAATTCATGCACATTGAATGATAATGATTTGACCTTCATGTTTTATCAAATTAAAACATGAAATACACAATGGATTCAAATTCATTACCTAAATAGATATATACCTAGCAATCTCCCTATGATATAATTATGATAATTTTAATGTAAGATGTAATAAATTGTGTAAGGTCTTATACTTGAACAAAAGGGTAGTTCTGATTGTTTGCTATAAATAGTAACAATTACAAATATATGTTCATCTATAGGTGAGACTCAGGCTGCTGAAGAAGCTAAAACAGAAGAAGAAAAGCCCAAAGAGGAGCCTAAAGAGGAGCCCAAAGAGGAGCCCAAGGAGCAACCTAAGGAGCAACCGAAGGAGCAGCCTAAGACCCCAAAAAGCCCAGCCAAGTCTGAACCACCAACGCCAAGCAAGAAAGTGAAGGAGGTCCCACCTATACCAACATTTGAACTTGGTCTTGTATTAGCTGCAGGTAAAGATATGTTGAGATATATTAATTTATGCTACATAATGTTATATGACCTATTTATATATGAATACAGTAAACATACATGTATATATAAACATCTGTTACATGAAAGTATGAAAGTGAAACCATTACAAAATGTAGTCATCCATTATGATCAATAGAAATTGTTCATATAATATACTTCTTTGAAATTTTCTCATAATTGTAACATATTGAGAGGGCTTTTTTTATCTCATTATTGTCATAAACTAAGTTTGTTCCCATAATTGTTTGATATATGACTTTGATATTATGTTTGTTAACCATCAGATTACTCACAAAAGCAGCATATTTTAGAACTGAGTAAAATGTCATCAAATGTAGACCTGCTTGATCAATTTCTTATCCATATTACTATGGTAGAGTTGAGTGTACAATTCTTTATTTGATTGATATACATGTATATTGAAAATATTTGTATAATTTGTAGATAATAATATAAGAAGGGGATAATATGTTTCCCTAGAGAATTTGTTTTAGGAGTTAACATTATAACCAAATTAAACACAAAATATGTCTCCCTCAAAATAAAAATTTTACATTTCATGTGTTGCCATTATCTTGTTTTCACCATTGTAGCGTCTTACATGAATTCAAGTTTAGGATAAAATAAAAATACTTAATTGTCAAGTTACTTTAGATTAATTTTATGATTCAGAAATATATGACTTTAATTCATTTTAACTGATCAAGTATTCAAGAATTTGGAGAAATATCATCGTTTATGAGAAGATATTTTTTATTTATCAGGAAAATATAGCTCTCAGATTGTAAGGATGGAATTGATTTCCATACAGCCAGTTTGTGTGGATTTATTTTTCACTCATTTATTTCAGTAAAATTGAGCGCATTTATGGAGTTTTGGATTATATTCCTGCAACCAATTTATATTTAAACGCATTTACTGTCTGGTATTTAATCACCTGCAGTGTGAAACATGAATATTATGTCACAAATTTCATCAGGTTTTCAATTACAAGCAAGTTTGTGAGAAGTAGTAAAAGCTTTTCACTGATTTCTGTCTGAAATTATTGTAAATTTGATTTTAAATCTGCGAAGTTGTCATTAAAATTTTGCAGTCTTTTAACGACATAGCAGGAACATAGCCGGAACAACAGTTGTATTATTGTATACACTTTAATCAATACATATAAATGAGAGAAATACTGTATTTTATTACTTTTAACAAGTATGAACAAAATGAAATAAAACACATGTTTTAATGATGCTTTCAAGTTAACAGGCCTGACAAGAAGATTTCTAAATTTTTTTTCTTCATTCTGTAGACATGAAACATTAAGTTGCTTTTGGCAATAAAAGTTGTAAGATTTGTTGGGTAATGAGTGACAAGGGGGATTTCACAGGGGGAAGGAAGTTGAAATTAAGGTTGTTGGAAGGACAGTAAAGAGGATTCAAGTGCTAGCAAGAATTCCGTTAGAAATAAGTGTTTGAAAGAGGATAGCAAAAAGCATTCTTTATATTATTAAACTTTTAAAGTTTTAAAAATTAATTGATGTCCAAGACAAGTAAAAATGTTATTGTGGGATGTGACCAGAGACGTTGTAATGACAGTTGTATAATTTAGTCAATAAGAAATAAGGAGATAAAAATATTCAAATTCAAATTTTAGAAAGATAAATCAAAATGACATCTTCTTCAGACTCATTTTCAATGAAACTTGATAGGAATAATCCCTTGGTGATACTGTTAAAGGTTAGCTTAATTTGATTTGGTGAACTAAACTTGAAGGTTGCTAAAATAGAAAGAATTTTCAAACAGGTATAACTTCAGATGACACTATGTTGTTGGTTCATACAGAGTTTATTTTAGTATGATTATGAAGGCTGCTTATAGCTCAAATCTCAAACAAATCTGTTCCTGGAACCAACAAGTAGTGAGCAATGAATGTAAAGTTTCTTTTTGAATGAAACAACAGATCGCTCCTGAAAGAGTTTGAACCCACATGGATATTGATCCTTATATTGTTAGTCTGATGTGTTAACCACTCAGCTACATGTATTCTGCCACATTGAAAACTGTAATGTTCTTTGAAGGTTTCTCAGATAAGTGATCCAGGGCCTTCTCAGTTCTCTTTGTTTTGTAAATTATGTCATCTTACTGTCAAGACCTTATTGCTCTGTATATTTCTATAAATCAGACCAGAGTTATGAATTGTTGTATATTTACAGGGTACAATATTGAAGCAGCCACCAATGATAACATAAAGAAACAGTTTGGGGCCAATGCCTGTGCTGGATGTGCTGGGTGTTCAGCACAAGGTTTTGATATTGGTGTTGGCATGGTTGGTGAAGCTGCAGCTGATACTGAGGCAGAGGTAAATTAACTTCATAACATAATGTTATCATGATTATTTCTGGGCTTTTTAGCTTGACTGTTTAAATAATAGGGAAAACTTTTGTGCTAACATCAGCATTGCAATCACACCTTGGTTAAGTTTTTGTGTGCAAGTTGATATTTCACTTGTTCTCTTTGACTATGTAGCATGATTGGCACAGATCTTATAACTCTGAGTTACCATCTTGCTGAGTTATACCCATTTTCTTACTGTCAAGCACTGAGAATAGTAGAGCGTGTTGTCTCACGAAAGCTCTTGTTCTCTTCATTGTCTTCAGTAGTTACTCTTAGTAACAGTGTCAGTTAAATCTCCTTTCAGTATTAATATAACATAAAGCTATTGATTAAACACTTACAAATTACTTGTTAAAAAGACCGAAAAAGTGATTGCATTCAGTTTTTTAAGCAACTTTAAATTTTGTATCAAACTGTTCATTGCATTTAAAGAAGCATTTCCACAATAAAAATGAACTGTGTATTTTCCATATACATGTACATGTAATGAAATTGAAAGTCCTTGGTCATTGGTCATGTTTGATTTTAAACTTACATAGTTTTTGGACCTGAAGAAATCTGGTTACAGTTGCAGACTTTGAAAACTGGTTGCTAAGTACAAAAAATGGTTATTATATAAAGAAAACTGGTTTTTGCATAGAGAAAACTGGTTAGTAAGTAAAGAAAACTGGTAATTACATAAAGAAAACTGGTTCTTGAGTAAAGAATACTGGTTATTAAAGAATATGATATAAATTTTTTCAGACATTAGAAGTTGTTGACCACACTGGTGAGGAAGCAGGGGACACAGGTGAGCATGCTGATGATGGGAACTCGCCGGATAATATGGATACGATGGACATGGATGCTGGAGGAATGGACGGGATGGGAGACATGGGCGATGCAGGAGCGGCGTCATGTGCGGCCTTCTAAAACCTCAGTGCTTACCATTTTGTCACAACTGTAAAATAATGACTTGTACTTCGCATTTCATATTTGTTTGTATAAATGGAATATTTTCAACTTCATCTGTTTTGAAACAAGAATTTTGTTGTTTCTTTTTTATAAGATTGCTTATTGAAGTATAGTGGTTATTATTATTCTTGATGCTGTCTATTTTTTATTATTTTTTAAAGAAATGTGTACTATTTTAAAGTATGTTATGATGTCATTTTGAAAGTTAATTATTTGTTTTTACTATAGTCCATTTCAGAATATGTGTTATTTGTGTAGTGATATATTTATGATATTTGTATGAGTCAACATGTACTTCATCCTGCATGTTCATTAAGTCTGATTCAATTTTTATAACTAGTCATTACCTGATTTTTTGTCATTTTGATCCTCTTCATTTTTAAGGGAAAGTTTCAAAATAAGTACTGCCTGAATAGTAGCCAGTGAAGACCATGATTAGATCATAGACATGCCGACAGCTGATCTTGGTCTGCACTGGTTGTATGGGTAGATTATGTTGCTGCCATCAGGCTTAGGGTTAAGTTAACAATAAACATCAAGTCTGTTACACAATTTTACCCTGGTTAAGGTGTTTTTAAATTATGTTTTGAGGTATGAGGTATTTCGATTGATATTTTTGTGTCCTAATTGATACTGTAAGTAGATTTTTTATATCTAAGTTATTTCTATTCTTAAGATTTTTTTTGCAGGTCCTCTTTATGCTTGTAATGTCCTCTGTATGTTTGTAACACTGACAAAAATACTTTTTGAGTCCTGTTTTTAAAAAGTATGGCATGTTTGATAATTTCTACTAAGGACTGCATACATACATGTACATATTCTGTGTTATCTGATAATGGTTATGGAGATCATCAGATAATATATTATTTTACAATTTTGTCAGAGTTTGCTTTCAAAGTAAAGAAAATATATTGTTTATAACGCTCATAAATATGAGGACTTCATTCATTTAATATATATTCAGTGATGAACTGGTCTTTTGATGTGTATATAATGTTTGACTGTATTATACATTTATTGGGATATTTATGATATTATGTTATAAAGATAATTAGAAAAAAAAGATTTTTTACACTTACCTATTATTTTAGATTTCTATGCTTTTTTTATGAAACTTTCTTTTTTTATTGTTTTTTATACATTTTTTTGCTTCATTTTATTGTCTGAATTGCCTTATGCACATTTATGTATTGATTTGCTGTCAATGCTTACAATCAAAACTACCATATATCTAGTCATAATGTAAAATGATGTGCCAATTAGCTTTATTAATTGATCTTATTTTTCAATTTTTATTTAAACTTTTTATGATTTTTTATGAGCTTTTATTCACTATGTGCTATGATAAGGAGATTATTTCTATGAATTCTTTGTTTAGAAGAACATCTTTTATTTTACAAACTAGTCATACCTTTTTACATTGTACTTTTGCTTTAAGTATTATTTATGTTGCTCAAATTCTAGATTTAGTAATGGATTGCAAAATACATTACATTGACCATGCCTCTGTCATGTATATGTATTTTTGTATCTCTTTCATCATGTACCTGTATTTTTTATTAGGAATGCTGTAATATCAGAAAATAGGGATATGAATTTATACACATTCTGTGTGATTTTAAAGGATTATTCACAGTATATGGATCATTTGAACTGAATTCAATGCAACACTTTTTTCCATATATTATTTGACTTGACTTTGTAATATTTTTTTTTTAATATTTCAATCAAAGTTTGAAAACAGAATTGTGTAAACTCTTATAAATTTCTGTATCTGCTATAGTGATGTATCTAGACTTTAAATTGTGCATGACTTATATGTGAAGTTGACTTTTACTGCTATGAAACAGAAGATATTGTCTGTTACATGATGGGTAGAGAAAAGTTTATGTAATGAAATATGTATGTAACAGTTGATGTATCACAACATACAAGTTGTTGGATAGATGTGTAAATATTATATTTATTTTGAAGACTTCTGAATTTTTGAAAATGATTGTTTATATATAGTTAAAATTATTCAAAATGTTCATTTATTATATTAGCTTGTGGAAACCCTACTTGCTCTACTTGCTTGTGTGGACCAACAGTAAAATGGTTTACTAGAGCTGCCTCCATGCTTAGTTTTATAACAAGGACTTTGATTGGCTGAATATTAAAAGATTTAATTCAAGGTGGATTGGTGGAATACCTGAATCTCATCTTCAATCAGCCATTTTGATTGGTTGGTAAATTTTTGCATTAAAATGATGTTTGCTGTTGATGTAGTGAAAGTTTTTGAAGATATAAATGTAAATTCTCCATTTTGTTAAGTGCTAAGTTTATGGACCAAATGTATCATAGCATTAATACAATTCATACTTAGTTATGACTGCATGGTGGTGAAAATGCAAACACAACTTCATTATAAAACACTGAGGTGTATATTTTATACTGTTGTAGCTTTTGAAATATCTTAATTATAACATGCTTGTCTCTATGATGTTGAATGTACGAGATTATGGTAATGGTAATCATGACGTATTCTGAGTCGTACCATGATTCTAGCTACAGATCTATGTTGAAATGCCTTACATGTAAAATGTACTTGTTTAAAACATCCGTTATAAGTAGTGAAGTTTGTTCGTCATGACCATGTGAAAAACGAGTATCTCGAGGCATCATCATAATTCTCATATAACTTCTTTTGTACAGTTATGACAGTATTCTGATGAACATTGTATATTAATGAGGAAAAAAATCATTGAAGATCATTTATCAGTGCTGCATAACGAAATCTGATATTTTTTAAGAGAATCTGAAGAGCTTAATTATGAAAACTTTGTTTCGGTACTGATTAAATACTGATAGATTATTGATTAAAGATAGCATCACTGCCAAAAATGTTAACATTGATTTTTCTGTATACAAGCAGTATTTTAGATCATGTTAGTATTGATTTGAAACCATTAAACACACAGGGAAAATACAATCTTATTCTGATCTTCCAATTATAGCTACTTTAGTTCTTGTTTAGAAAATACTGTGCCAAACTACGGGGGCGGAATTACATCTAAGATAACTTTATGTACAGATTTTATATGTATCAACCATTGTAAGTTGCTGGCATAAAAGAAATAATAACTGCAGGAACTAACATATTTTTGCCATGTAGACTGTACTGGGCTTATACAGGCTTTGATCACCTAAATGGATTTACAATGTGCAAAACATTTATATTGCAGTTTTGTGGTGATAGAAAACGAATAATTGATGCTGAATAATAGATGTTGCTTTATGGAGAACCAGTCCTCTTTGTTTTTATTATATTATCAGTATGTGTCATTATTTTTTTACTATGTAAAACAATGGAAAACCCTCTAATTTATCCAGAAAATAACTGTATTTTTTCTTATTAGTCTTACTGTTGAGCATTAATTAGAAAAAAATATTGTCATCAAATTACTAGATTTTTTTTTGTAAAAAAACACTGATTGTACTTCACTAGAAAATAGGGAAGGAACTGGTTTAAATATAATTTCTTACAGTTATTTGTATTATTCTAGTTTAATGAAATAGAAAAAAAACTCTACAATATCCAAACATATTTGTCAACATGTTTGTGTAACCATTTATATGTTCATATGACCATTAGGAGGTGATACTATAATCATGTTTGTATAAGAATTGATTGTTCCATGGACAAGAAATTCTCTTCAACTATAGACAATTAGTTAAAGGATATATTTGTTAGATTATTGTCTTATTTGATTGATAAAGGCTTAACGTAAAGATGTCTATGTTATATAACGTATGTGTATTTTGTAAATTTGTACTTTATAATCACAAGGTGATGTGAGGTGGGATTTTTTTTCTTTCATGTTGAAACAACAAGATGTTACTTGTACATGTATATTGTAGTCAGTGTTTAGTATTTTTGGTATTAATCACATATATATATCATGTAGATAGAACAACAGGCCTTCACTGATGACAGATAATGTTCAAATTTATAAGTGAGGGGTCATTTAATGACGAAAACTTCAGCCAAGATTACTTCCAGGATTTGGTGGTAAACTCATTGGTGGCAGATAAATTCATATTTGGCAGAAAGGGGTTATAATTGACAACAGTCAAGTTTGTTGGTGATAATGTTATTGTTGGATAAAAATCTAAACAATTTTTGTATTTTTAAGATGTTATTCAATATTTTCAAGCTACAAATAGGTTTTGGTTAGAATTGACATCTTCATCTTTTAAGCATACTTTTCTTTGTGTATGCTACATACATCATGTGATCTTAACTTACGCTGACATGTTGTACACAAAATTTGAGATAAGGTAGAAGTTGGCAAAACACACATAATAGTGTTGAATTATAACAACTTAATTTGTTGAATAGTTGAAAATCTTGCTATGTCAGCATTTTTACTTGTCTTTTTTTTTTCATGAGAAATAAAAACAAGAACATCAGTTTGCTTTTCATTAAGATCAAAGACAAAAATGATGGTATCAACTATTTTGACTGCCATGATATCTCAGATCATGTGTATATATTTCACATTTACATGCATATATTACACATTACACATTTATATGCATCAGAGTTACACAAGAAATACTGCTGAACTACACAACCAATCATTACAAACATTGTGTATGCTCAACACATTTTGTGAATCAAAACACCTAGCAACATAGATTCATATATGTAGAATAACATCTAGTTTTGCAAGATGGGACTTTAAAATTCTACAAAACCTTTGATGACATTATGGGGTAATATTTTTTCAATCATGTGTTTTGGGATAGAGTTATTATAAAAAAAGTAAGCATCTTTTAGGGCCTGTTGTCTGTAGAATTTTGGGATGTTATTAATAAACTGTATCCTAGTACAAAGTATGAGTTTTCTTTATTTATTGATTCCCGGCCCCACCAAAAAAGAAACCCATCAAGGAGAACAAGTACAAAATACAAGTTTTCTATATTTATTGATTCCTGGCTCAAAAAAAACCTATCAAGCTGACTTGGTGAGGACACCAAAGTACAAAATACTAGTATTCATTATGCTTAGAAACCCTGGTCACATTGGCTAGTCAAGGAGAACATTCCAATGTTACCTTTCATGTGACAATTAAACTGCCTGCACTAAGTCCACTGGTATATGTCCCATTTTGATGATTCAAGCAATTACTTTGGTTGGCATTTACATACAGTGGTAAGAGTAAAGTAGCTGCATGATTTTAATTCTTCTGACTCAAGTGAATCTACCCATGCAACCAGTGCAGACCAAGATCAGCTGTATTAAATATTTTGAAATTTTCCTTAAATTGATGAATGGTTTAGTCCAGATTAAAACGTGGACAAAGTCCATTTACTTCATGGTAATGGTTAAATGATGAAAATATCTCAACAAGCAAGTACTTGACCCGAATGAATTAAAACAAAATCATGAGCTTCAAGTGTTTAATCATGAAAAATTGTTGTAGTGGATAATTCCAAGTTTGTTCAATACATGTAATAACATAAGGTAGTTATTTTTCTATAGCATTGCAGCATGACACTTCCTTGTCATTGAAGATTTGAAGCATATAATGCAGAATCTTCCTATCAGAATGTTTTGTACGAGTATAAAATGTGACAATGATATAGTTTAACTTCTGTCCTAGAGTTTACAAGTCATTACCAGTTTTACAATATTAGAAAATATGTCAAGATCCTGACTAGAGAAAAGGTAGAGAACAATATTCACATAATAAATTAAACAGAAGCATCAGTAACAGCAAAAAATCAGCCTTGGATTATTCCAAATTTCATAAAAATTGACACAGAAATTACAGATAACACAAGAACAGAATAAGTGGTAGCCACAGCTGTGTTAAACTTTGTTGGGTCTCTAATTTTAGTACAGAATCTTGGTTTACTAGCTACTGGGCATCCATCTATAGCTCCCGTCCTAGGTGGAGTCCATGTGTCGAGGCCGCAGGTTGCGATGATTTTATCAAAGTTTTCACTTGTTGGAGGGAATGCTGTTTTTTGTAAAGGATTAATGTCTGCATATTTCATGAAACCATTCAGCGTTCGTGTTAGACCAACTATATACATGTTTCCCTCTTTCGTCTGCTCATCGACACCGGAACATTCGTCACCCTCTCCTCTGATATTTTCAATAATAACCTGCCCAGGTACTTGATATAATCCAGTTTTAAGCACACAGTAAACATCAAACCTGGAATCAACTTCTAGTGGTGTGCGAAGTTTTCTATGTTCACGATCTTGGCCGTAAACAACAATATCCGACTTTAGCAACAACTCCTCCATTGTCATATTTCGCCAAACTGAAGTCTTACATCCACGTGTGAAGTCACAACAGAAAACAAGCAAAACATATGCAACAAAAATTAACATTTTTAGATAAAAATATTATTGTTCCTCCTTTCTTTTTCAAGCTGATTTCTTTTAATATTTTGAGATCGTATGTAAATGGTAAATTCTATGTCCCTTCAGAACAATTCCGTTGTGTCACCTTTATATACAGAGGTCAAAGGATTACATGTACTAGTAATTTGATTTATCGGAAAAACAATTTTGTAACGAAGACTCGAGTTATAAAACATTCTAAGATTCTATATATAGTCTATATAACATAAATTATTTAGGCCCCTTGTAATAGTTACATGTATATACAATAATTACTACACTGTATTTTTAGATAATATTGCTGTAAAAAATATATTGCCTTGATTTGTATAACTACAGTTGCGCAAGTGTTACAGTACCTTTGGTCATATGTTTAGAAGTTTCTGTGTAATGCTTTATATTAAATTATCATCATATTGCATAATTAGACAGTTTAAACCAGTTATAATTCAGTCAATATTGTCTCTGGAAGGGAAAAAAGCACAAGAGCTGTAAATAAGATAACACTCTCCACTTTTTTCAGACTTGGATATGAAGGAGGTTGATCTTGTATAGAACACAAGGACCAAGGCTGCGTTTCATAGAAAGTCTTAAGTGTATCCTAAGTCCTAGGTAGGAAATAAAACCCACTTTAGGACTAACTTAAGACAGTTTCAGTCAATGATTTTACCTTCAGTCAAAGATTGTAGACTATATGTTATGTAGTTATATGTCTTTGATAATAACCTACACTAATTACCGGTATGTGCAAAGTTAACACAATAAGATGATGTTTCGTGCAAAACTTCAACGTGTGAAGCAGACATACAAATGAGTAGAATAGTCCCATAATTCTTCTAATAGTCTCACTAGAATGGGGACCATTGCAATATCAGTATTTCAAACTAATATAGCCTTCATAATACAGTTTCTGTGGTTGTTCACAATTTTCAAGCATATTAAATTAAAATTATAACTAAACTTTAAAAATATATTAATTATAAGTATCTCAGATTCAGTTTGATTTGGCTTAAAAGTAAATGTTTATAAAGAAGGGACATAATTTAATACAATTTGAATAAAAATTACCAAGGATTTAACTCCCTTGGAAACCACTGGTACATTCTCAGCTATAATTATGTTAGTAATATATGGTGTTTACTTAAGATTATATAATTAGTCCCCTACCGGTTTAACCGGAGGGGACTTTAGGTTTACCCTCCGTCCGTCTGTCCGTCCGTCTGTCCGTCCGTCCGTCCGTCTGTCTGTCCGTCCGTCAGTCCGTCCGTCCACAAAACTGGATCCCGCGATAACGCAAAAAGTACTGAAAATATTTTTATGAAACTTGATATATGGATAGATGGCAGTATGGAGATTATGCACGTCTTTTTTTTTTCTTCCTATGTTGAAAATTCTGGTTGCTATGGCAACAAATAGTCTGAAAATATGGCAAATTTAACACATAAACTGGATCCAGTGATAACTCAAAAAGTACTGAAAATATTTTTATGAAACTTGAAATATGGGTAGATCTGGAGATTGTGCACATCTTTTTCTTTTCTTCCTATGTTGAAAATTCTGGTTGCTATGGCAACAAATAGCCTGAATTTCAAGATTTCTGATTTAAATTTTTTAGCTTTTTCACTATATCTTCTTTATTATGCCCCCATTTCGAAGAAAAGGGGTTATATTGCTTTGCACTTGTCGGTCCGTCGGTCCGTAGACCAAATGGTTTCCGAGTGATAACTAAAGAACCCTTAGGCCTAGGAACTTCAAACTTGGTATGGTGATTGGTCATGACCAGTAGATGACCCCTATTGATTTTGGGGTCAAGGGGTCAAAGGTCAAGGTCACATTGACCTTGTAAGCAAAAACGGTTTCCGATCAATAACTAAAGAACCTTAAGGCCTAGGAACTTCAAACTTGGTATGGTGATTGGTCATGATCAGTAGATGATCCCTATTGATTTTGGGGTTAAGGGGTCAAAGGTCAGGGTCACATTGACCTTGTAAGCAAAAACGGTTTCCGATCAATAACTAAAGAACTTTAAGGCCTAGGAACTTCAAACTTGGTATGGTGATTGGTCATGATCAGTAGATGACCCCTATTGATTTTGGGGTCAAGGGGTCAAAGGTCAAGGTCACATTGACTTTGTAAGCAAAAACGGTTTCCGATCAATAACTAAAGAACTTTAAGGCCTAGGAACTTCAAACTTGGTATGGTGATTGGTCATGATCAGTAGATGACCCCTATTGATTTTGGGGTCAAGGGGTCAAAGGTCAAGGTCACATTGACCTTGTAAGCAATAACGGTTTCCGATCAATAACTAAAGAACTTTAAGGCCTAGGAACTTCAAACTTGGTATGGTGATTGGTCATGATCAGTAGATGACCCCTATTGATTTTAGGGTCAAGGGGTCAAGGTCACATTGACCTCTTGGGTAAAAACGGTTTCTGATCAATAACAAAAGAACCCTTAGGCCTAGGAACTTCAAACTTGGTATGGTGATTGGTAATGACCAGCAGATGACCCCTATTGACTTTGGGGTCAAGGGGTCAAAGGTCAAGGTCACATTGACCTCTTAGGTAAAAACGGTTTCCGATCAATAACTAAAGAACCCTTAGGCCTAGGAACTTCAAACTTGGTATGATTATTGGTCATGACCAGTAGATGACCCCTATTGATATTGGGGTTAAGGGGTCAAAGGGCAAGGTCACATTGACCTTGTAGGTAAAAATGCTTTCAAATCAATAACTTAAGAACCCTTTGGCCTAGGAACTTCAAACATGGTATGGTGATTGGTCATGACCAGCAGATGACCTATTGATTTTGGGGTCAAGGGGTCAAAGGTCAAGGTCACATTGACCTTGTATGTTAAAACGGTTTCCGATCAATTAACTAAAAACGCTTAGGCCTAGGAACTTCAAACTTTGTATGATGATTGGTCGTGACCAGCAGATGACCCCTATTGAGTTTTGGGTCAAGGGGTTAAAGGTTAAGGTCATGACCAGTAGATACTTGATAACCCTTATTAATTGTTTGATCACTGGGTCAGAAGTCATAATAACCTTATCACATGACTAATTGGCTGCTGATAGGGGGCATACATGTTTTACAAACATATCTTGTTTCTTAAGGTGTTTACTTCAAACTTTAAATATAAGTTTCTGGTCATCAACCACATCATATGTGACAAGGTTTATAACTCTAGCACAAAAAATATCAGTATTACCTCCCTTGAACTTAGATTTTTTAGGGGAAAAAATGTTGTCTTTTTTAAATAACTTCTTTATTTCCTAATGTATCTACTTCAAACTTCATATATATGTTTCTTATTATCACTCGACATTTTTTAGAAGGTTAAATACTCTAGCAAGACTATTTCCAGAATTATGTCCCTCTTGAACTTAGATTTTTTTCGAGAAACTGGTATTTTCACTCCAACTTCTTTAATCCTTATAGGATTTACTTTAAAATCCTACATCGTAATAATATGACAAGGTTGTATAAACATAATTTCCTTACTAAGCATGGAAACTTAACACATTACTGTGATATAGACAAACTTATTTTATTATGTTTTGTGGTCGATATTTTCAAATACAGACTTCATCCTCAAATTCATTATAAATGGCAATACACAGGAGTGTATGACAATTAAAGAACTTTTTGAGGGACCGGTAGGGGACTACTGTATTGCCCGCAATACTATCAAATGCTTGTTATAATTGCATTAGCTTTTTATATATACCTGTAATTTGCCACTGTGCAGAACAAAGTCAAACAACCTTTTCATTAAAAGTTATTTTATCTTCAATTTGTGATTATTTGAAGCATCATTTTCCCAAATAAACTGTAAATCTTTTCATTATGATAAAATAGGATATTTATTACATGAACTATATACAGAGTTAACCCTAACAATACTAAATATATCAAATGAACTTTTCTTGGATATCAAACTGGTGTTTCTGTTAGTTTTACTCATGCCTGAAATTTCATCTGGCATGGGGGTGCCAGATGAGATGCCTGTTATACAGTCAAAGACAGCAACTTGGCAAGTTTACATTCCAATGGGCGGTTACACTTGGGATGGTTATTCCGATCTGCACCAAAATATATAATTTATCAGCCGATCTTGCTTTGCACTGGTCACATGATTGAGTCAGCACTTGCAGGCTAAGCAATTTATTGGTTCTTTCATGGAAGCCACAGAGCTGCTGAGGTATTCAAAGACAACCAAAAAAGTGTAGGATTTTTAAATATCTGCAAACATACCCTGAAATACATTAATTTTGTATGCTTGGTCACATGACATACAAAAGTCTGGTGAATGGTTAGATATAATAGATACCGAAAAAAATTTAAATCAAACCACTGCTTTATGCATTCATTGTGTAGCCATAGGGTGATTTGTTTATTATAGAAAAATAAAAATTTCCTCAAACATCCGATTTCAATGAACACACAGAGTCACATAAATGTAAATTTATTCATATCATAAAATATTAAATATCATAATATAACATTGATACAATGAGCGTTCTAATGAGAGCCTCGTTAGAACGCGGTGTTGAGACATTGGACCCCAACATGAGCGTTTTAATGAGGCTGAAGTGTAGTTGAATTCATTTAGCATACATGTGTACTGGTTCCCAGTCTCAAGTAACATTTGTGAAGTCATGTATTTAACAACAGAGGTTACAGGTAAATATAAATATATTTTAATTGTTTAATCATTTATTTCCACATTTTTACAATATATATTTCAATGCCCCATTCTGTGGTCCAATGATCTACCTTCATAGGCCTTTTTCCATACATTATATTACAAAACAATAAACAAAATAGTTACAGGCTTTGACCTCCTTACCAATAAATCGCATTGTTTTTGTTTGCTATTAAATTACACTGTCACTGTTAAGGTAATTAAGTCACCTTCCACATTTACTGAAGGACGACCACCTCAGGTGCTTCTTCTAGCATAATTTCGGGCACTAGCGTCCATCTAAGTAGAATACCAACATTCAATAAGCTAGCTGAATAAATTCCTTACATAAAAGAATT